TGGGCGCCCCTTCACTCTGGGGGCTAAAGGTGGTTGCTGGTCCCAGCATCACTTGGGCTGGACAGAACTCCTTGGTGGTCCTTCTCTGTGAGGAATGGGTCTGGGGGGGCACTCTTTCCTGGGGGCTCCCCTTTTCTCCCTCAGCCCTGGGATCGCTTCTCCTCCTCATTTCACCCTCCAGCCAGCGTGGTGTGAACAAACTCTGCAGATCAAAGTGCAGATCAAAACTCAGCCATGGAATCCCCCTGGGTGAACTTGGACAAGTCACACACTCTCAGCCTCAGGGGAAGGCAGTGGCCAACCCCCTCTGGACAAATCTTGCCAAGAAAACCTCAAGATAGTAGGTTCTCCTTAGGGTCTCCCTAAGTCGAAAAGGAGTTGAAGACACACAACCCCTCAGCCCAGCTGGCTCCTTAGAGGCCTCAGTGGGCCTGGTTTGTTGTTTTGTTTTGTTTTGTTTTGTTTTGCGCTGGGGGGATCCCAGTGGGTCTTCAACTCTCTCCTGGGCCTACTCAGAAGTCAGCCGCCCTGGGTTCAGCCGGGCTCCTGCCTGGCCTAACAGGGCAAAAACCGCATCCGCACTGCAGAGAAATAAGCCAGGTTGACACCGCTCTAACAGCCGTGCCTCAGTACTATGGCATTCTGCCAGTGGTGGCTTTGTGAGACAAGAAACAATTCCCAGAATCCCATAGCATTGAGCCACGGCTGTTAAAGCGGTGTCTACCTGGACTATTTCTGCAGTGCGGATGGAGCCAAAGAGGTGTGTTGGAAAGGAGGGGGGTGTCGTGCGAATGGTGCTTTCTTTGCTTTGCTTTCTTCTTTTTGGGGGCGGGTGTCTCTTCTCTCCCTCCTCCTCCTCCCGCCCCCCTCCGACCCACCGGCAGGCTCTACCTTCTTTGACCATGCCGACGGCCAGGCACTTCTGGAAGCGACAGTATTGGCACCGGTTCCGGCGGCGTTTGTCCACGGGACAGTTTTTGTTCGCCAGGCAAACGTACTTGGCGTTTTTCTGGACGGTGCGCTGCGGGGACAAGAGGAGAAGTGAAGGAAAAGGAAAAGGAAAAGGAAAAGAAACAGGTCCAGGGAGGGCCATTTGGGGCCCATTCCCTCCACACCGGCCTGCATTTCTTCCTAAGTCCCTCTTCCTTTCGT